ATTTTTACCTATTCATATCCATTGTTCAAATATTATAAAGTACGTTTTTTGGGTGAAAAAGGGTAACTTTCAATGCTATCGGAATGAATTAAGCCTTTAACTTGTATTTTCCTTTACTCACTTAACGACCAGTTTCTTGGATAACAATTACCGTCAGTTAAGAGGTAGGGGGAGGGGTTCTATTGTACCGTGAAGTTTTGCCGGTAATTATAACAATCAGCCTCACCAGTATCTAGAGTCGATCATCGATTATAATCTGGCTATTTCGGGGGTGGGGGGGAGGTGGCGCCGGATATTCAAAAAATGCCCGATAATCGCTCATCATTATTTGATCATTAGCTGATTTTTTTGGGGTGTTGTGTGGTCTGTGTTTTTTTGTAGTGTTTTAAATTTGTTTACTATGTGACAGTTGCATAAACGAACAAAAATTCAGGACCTACTTAACGATGGTAGCTACACAAAGATTAAAAGAGATCCAACCAACTGAACAGTATCATCACTGATTCAGCTTCATTAATTGAACAGACTAAAAGGTTTTCACTAAAACCTTCTGCTGCTAGACCACCCAGACTATATTGCTTACCAAAAATCCATAAAGAAGGCACACCCCTTCGTCCCATCGTCACCACCAGTGGCTCACCCACCTACAAACTGGCCCGAGATTTGTCTGAGACCTTGCAGCCATGCATTGGTAAGGCCACCTCTTCTGTTCTTAACTCAGCTCACCTGGTAGCGTCAATTAAAGACATCTCACTGTCACCAGGTGATTTGCTTGTTAGTTTCGATGTAGTTTCTCCGTTCACCAAGGTTCCTGTGCCCGATATTGCAATAATTGAAGATTTGGTTCAACAATGACTGAATGCTGATGTACCAGCCCTGGTGAGACACTGCCTCACCAATACATACTTCACTTGGAATGGAACATTCTACAAACAAACTGAGGGCACTCCAATGGGTTCTCCCTTATCTCCGGTTGTGGCCAACATTTTCATGGAAAAATTTGAGACTGACGCCATCCAGGCATCCACTCTACGCTCGTCCTTGTGGAAGAGGTACGTGGATGACACGTTTGTCATCTGGCCACATGGCCGACCAGCTCTGAAACAATTCCTCAACCACATAAATTCCATTCACCCAGCAATCGAATTCACCATGGAGGTAGAAAAGGATGGCATGCTACCCTTCTTGGATGTTTTAATCAAAAGGAGACCAGATGGCTCAATGAGCCACTCTGTCTACAGGAAAGTAACCCATACTGACGCCTACCCAAAACCTGATTCCCACCACCATCCATCCCAGAAGAATTTCCTCTTGAAAACGCTACACCATAGAGCTCAATGTATCTCCGACCATGAACACCTGACGTACACCAGGCTCTCAAGACGAATGATTATTCTGACTACACAATCCGCAAAGCCATCAACCCAACCGTGAGGAAGGAGCCATCTGAAGATCCAATCAAAACCGTCACCTTACCTTACATAGCAGGGATAACCAAAAGGATTTCCAAAATCTTGAACAAACACATGACCCACGTCCTATTTAACACAGTACACAAAATTCGTGACCTGATCCCATCTGTGAAGGACAAGATCCCTGACATGCAATATCCTGGCGTCTACAAACTAAGCTGTACCTGCGGGAGCAGTTACATTGGGGAAACCAAACGTCATGCCTCGGACCGTGTTCGTGAACACAAGGCAAATCTGAAACACGGCAGGACCAACACTTCTGCCGTAGCTGACCATTACTTTAATGCGGCTGGCTCACGTGAAATTGTTTTCTCTAAAACGATGGTACTTTGCAAGCTGACTGGCTATCAACTAGAGGTTCGTTCACGAAGCCATCCATATATACAGACCCAAAAAACAATTTCAGCCGAGACGATGGTTTTAAACTCGGCATTGGAAAGATGTCATCAACCACTTTGGGTCATGATTTGAATTTATGTTTCCTTGTCAAACCTCGACCGTCAGCAGTGTGGATGGTTGTAGCGAGGTGCAATTCCCCCCTTCCCATCTCTACCCCTCCCCCCTATCTCTACCCATCCCCCCTATCTCTCCCCCTGTCCTCTGCCCATTCTTTCCCCCCCCATTTTCTGATGGGTGTACCGAGGTACAATTCCTCCCTCCTCCCATCTCTACCCCCCCCCCCCCATCTCTGCCCCACCCCCTCTCTCTCCCCCTGTCTCTCTCACAGCTCTTTTATCCCCATTTCTTCCCCCCCCCCCATTGCTCGCGCAGCCCATTCCCCTGCCCACTCACTCTGGAGTTGTGTATCCCCATTCCCTTCAGCTCTGTTATCCCCATTCCTATCTCTGCCCCACACCCTCTCTCTCCCCCCGTCTCTCGCGCAGCCCTTTCCCCGCGCCCACTCACTCTGGAGCCCTTATAAGACCGATTGCGTTGCAATCGAAACGTCGTGGGGTTTTTTTTTGCGTTTAATTTAGATTTTTGTTTTCTATCTACGTGACTTTACCGAAAGAACCGAGAATATGAACAGAAATGTATATCCTACTTGGAAAAGCTGCCGTATTTGCTGTACCGTACTTACCACTCCAATCTCGAGGAATTGCATCATGGCGTGATTTACGTACTACATACGCATATTGTTTCAACAACTTGTGTTTGACAGGAGCCGTACTGATGCAGCCTTTAGACCGGTGCTGCGGCGAATGCCGAATTACACGGCACAATTTGGCTGGATCGAGCTGTGTATATTTTATGTTTTTTTTATGACCGTAGTGATTAGTCATGCAAGATGTATATTGTGCAGTATTTTCATTGTTTATATTGTTGTACGTACTGTAGTGTATAATGTACCGTAAATGTTTGACGCTGAAATCAAGCAGAGATACTTTATATTGTCACATGCACATGGTGCCGATCGCTGGTCCTGGTTTCCAGCCTTTGGAGCGGTTTAGCCGGATCGACCCGGGACCGCCAAATAATGTTGGAAGCCGCATTATCGCGCGCCGGATAATCGATGATCGACTGCATTTGGCACGTTTTGTTTACGTGACAAACCCCTTACTAATTGGCTGTGACGGGTGGTGGCGGGTTTAACGACACATTTATGTTCACGCCATCCAACCCAAAAAAAACTACTACTACGACAGCGTGTTAAGCAAATACATTTATGTAGCAAGTCCAATTAATCAAGCTTGGGCAAGGCAGCGAAAAGAACGACAAAGCAGTCTCAGACCACAGCAACACAACACAGCAGGAGCAGCAATAGTAGTCTCTCAATACAATGGCATGTTAACATTGAACTTTCCATGTATAGGTAAGGTTCAAAGTCACAGATCACATTTGTAAATGTAACTGCTGTATCCAGCTTGGGGATATATACAGGTAGTCCTCTACTTACGATGGAGGTGCGTTACGACGACCCCATCGCAAGTCAAAAATATCGTAAGTCCAAGATGGCCTAGCGTACCCAGGAGTCTTAAAGAATGGTGATAATTTAGCAAAACAGAGCAATTTACAGTACCGTACTGTATAAACTATATACTGTATGTATTTATTAATTACAATACTGTATTGAACAGTAAAATGCAAAGTAAAATCAAGGTAAACTCTTAGCCTACCTATATGAACTGCAATTTAATAGAAAAACATTTTCAGGAAACAATCCTATCTGCTATAAAAACTTTTAACATGCATTGAACGTATCGTAGTAACCCTAAAATGAAATCGCTAAAGCTACGTATACATGCATTGAACGTATCGTAACGTATATTGTACTGTACTCGCCAAGATTCTGTCCGTCGTCTGCATACTTGAACGATGTTAGGTTGTTGATGGCTACATTTAAAATATTTAACAATTTTGTCGAATCGCAAATATCGTAAGTCGGACCATCGTAACTCGGGGACTGTCTGTATACACATTTTTTTAAAGGAACATTTACGATGTATAAAGGTTGTTTCCAAAACGTTTGGGTGGTGCTGCAAAGGCTTTTGTCCTCCTTGTTCCAATTATTGTTCTGGGGATTATTTAAAAGGCAATTAGATGGACGCCTTAGGTTTCATGGGGTTGACAGTGGGGATATTGAATTACAGCTGTTTGGGGGGGGGGGAGCGCCGGATTTTCAAAAACGCCGGATAATCGCTACATCATCAATATTTAAAAAGCTTTTATTTGCACATTCTTGTATTACGTGGTATGTTTTTTTGCGTGTTTTAAAATATTATTTCTTTGTTCAAATTGTCACAAACAAACAAACATAGAAGTAGACAAAAATAAATACCCTTCTGTAAAAAGTTGGCCTTTTTTTACTGGACCGTACCTACCACTCCAATCTCGAAGACTGAATCATGGCGTGATGTACGTAATACTACGCCGCTCTTGTTTCATCAACTTGTGTTTGACGATTGCCGGACTGGTGCAGCCGATAGACCCGGTGATCCGGCGAATGCCAAATTACACACTCACTTTTCGCCTGATTGCACTGTGTATTGTTTCTGTTTTTATGACCGACCATAGTTTTTTAGTCATGAAAAATGTGTATAAGTACAGTATTTTCATTGTTTAAGTTTATGTAGTGTATAATGTACTGTATATAATATTTAACACCGAAATCAGGCATAGCTACTTTTATTTTGTCACATACACGTTGCCGATCACCGGACTGGTTAGAGCCTTTGGAGCGGTTTTGCTGGTTTCGCCGGATCGGCCCGGGACCGCCGGATAATTTTGGAAAACCGGATAATCAAAGGTCAAATGTAGTTACATTTAGTGCAAGTTTGCCAACAAGGGTTTTATGGATTAACACGGCCCAATGTAGATTTATTCCTGCATGTGATGATGATGGTGATGGTATCGATTATGCTGGTTTCAGTGAAGTCTTATCGGGAGGACTGGATTTGTAGCACTGCGAGTGCAGTTTCATCCCCTTTGTTCAGTGAATGAGGTGAAGGAGGAGGAGGAGGTGAAGGAGGAGGAGAAGGAGGAGGAGGAGGAGGAGGTGAAGGAGGAGGTGAAGGTGAAGGAGGAGGAGGAGGGGAATGTGAAAGAGAAAGTGAAGGAGGAGGTAGAGGAAGTAACGGAGGAGGAGGTAACGGAGGAGGAGGTGGAGGAGACCGAAGAGGAGGCGATGAGCATTGGGGACCGCGACTCTGACTGGTGAGAGACTTGGCACCAAACCTCCACGACCCCAACCCCTATCCTTACCACTACCCCTGACTAACACCATTTACTACTCCGACCATTTTCTCTTCTACGAGCCGTAACACTACCACTACCCCTGACTAATACCACTTAACTACTCTGGCCACTAACCCCTACCACTCGGCTAACACTACTCCTGCCAGTACTCTGAACACTACCCATACCACTAGCCCTATCGCTATCCTTACCACCTCCCCTAACACTACCCCAAGCACTACCCCTACCACTGTGCCTGTTACTGCAGCCCGCCCAGCCCGCCTGGTGCATTAGGAGACCCCTACGATGGGACCACAGAGGAAGAGGAGGCAGTGGAGGAAACGCAGGTGGGGGGCAGGGCAGGAGGAGAGGGGGAGGAGGAGGAGGCAGCCCCTGGCCCCCCTGAGCTGCCCGGTGAGTGTCAGCACTGACTACTCACTGGCCACTCACACCGACCACTCACGAACACTCACACAGACCACTCACTGATCACTTGCTCACACTGACCATTCACTCAGTCACACTGACCACTCACTCACACTGACCACTCACACTGACCACTCACACTGACCACTCACTCACACTGACCACTCACACTGACCTCTCGCGCGCACCGATCACTCACGAACACTCACACAGACCACTCACTGACCACTCGCTCACACTGACCATTCACTCAGTCACACTGACCACTCACTCACACTGACCACTCACACTGACCTCTCACACTGACCTCTCACACTGACCTCTCGCGCGCACCGATCACTCACGAACACTCACACAGACCACTCACTGATCACTCGCTCACACTGACCATTCACTCACTAACACTGACCACTCACTCACACTGACCACTCACACTGACCTCTCACACTGACCTCTCGCGCGCACCGACCACTCACGAACACTCACACAGACCACTCACTAACCACTCACTCACACTGACCACTCATACTCACTGACCACTCACGAACGCTCTCACTCTCCCACAGACTACTCATTCACACTCAATGACCAATCGTTCAGAGACCGCTACTCACACATACCACTTGCTCACAGACCACTACTGAGACTGACCGCTCGCTCACACTGACCATTCACTCGCTCACACTGACCACTCACTCACTCGCGAACACTCACACGGATCACTCACACTGACCACTCACTCACACAGATCACTCACACTCACACAGATCACTCACACTGACCACTCAATCATACTGACCACTCAAACACTCACTCACACAGGCCACTCACTCAATCGCTGACACTGACCACTCGCACAGATCACTCACAAAGATCACTCGCCCAGACACACTGTGATCACTCACTCAAGCACAGTGATCACTCACCTACACAGACACAGTTATTACTTACTCACACACTGTGATCACTCACTCATCATATTCATCCATTGTTCTAGATCTGCTCTCAGGGAAGAGGATTCTCCTGCACGCCTCGCTCTCCGCTCACGAGCGCCGCTCCCTGCAGCGACTCATCGTGGCCTGGAACGGGTACCGGGGGGCATGGGGTGACGTGACGGGGTGACGTGACGGGGTGACATGAAGGGGTGACGTGAAGGGGTGACGTGAAGGGGTGACGTGAAGGGGTGACGTGAAGGGGTGACGTGAAGGGGTAACGTGATGAGGTGACGTGACGAGGTGGCGTGGCGAGGTGGCGTGACAGGGTGAAGAGGTGATGTCAGGGGTGATGTGACAGGATGACGAGGTGACAGGACGGGGTGATGTGATGTGAAGGGGTGACGAGGTGACGTGATGGGGTGATGAGGTGACGTGATGGGGTAACGTGACGGGAGGGTGTGAAAAGAATGGGTGACGTGACGGGGTGACGACACGGGGTAACGACACGGGGTGATCACACGGGGTGATGACACGGGGTGACGTGATGGGGTGATGAGGTGATGTGACGGGGTGACATGAGGGAGTGACGTGACGGGGTGACGCGACGGGGTCACGTGACGGGGTCACGTGACGGGGTGACGACACGGGGTGACGACACGGGGTGACGACACGGGGTAAAGAGCAGGGGTGACGTGACGGGGTGCGGTGTGCGCCGTGTGTCAGGAGCGTCGTTGCTGACGATGCAAGTGAAGTCGACTTCGTCATCGCCAATCACGGCTGGGATGAGAGCTTCGACGAGGTGAGGCTGTGACGGCGTGAGGGTGTGAAATGGTGTGACGAGGTGAGGGTGTAAGAGGGTGAGGGTGTGACGTTGTGATGGGGTGAGGTTGTGAGAGGATGAGGACGTGACGGGGTGAAGGCGTGACGGGGTGAGGGTGTGACGGGGTGAGGGTGTGACGGGGTGAGGGTGTGACGGGGTGAGGGTGTGACAGGGTGAGGTTGTGACGGGGTGAGGTTGTGACGGGGTGAGGGTGTGAGAGGCTGAGAGGGTTGGGGTGTGACGGGGTGAGGGTGTGACGGGGTGAGGGTGTGACGGGGTGAGGTTGTGAGAGGATGAGGACGTGACGGGGAGAGGGTGTGACGGTGAGGGTGTAACGGGGTGAGGGTGTGACGGGGTGAGGGTGTGACGGGGTGAGGGTGTGACGGTGAGGGTGTGACGGTGAGGGTGTGACGGTGAGGGTGTAACGGGGTGAGGGTGTGACGGGGTGAGGGTGTGAGAGGTTGAGGGTGTGAGAGGCTGAGAGGGTTGGGGTGTGACGGGGTGAGGGTGTGACGGGGTGAGGGTGTGACGGGGTGAGGGTTTGACGGGGTGAAGGTGTGATGGGGTGAGGGTTTGAGAGGCTGAGAGGGTGAGGGTGTGACGGGGAGAGGGTGTGACGGACCTGGTGAGGGTGTGACGGAGTGAGGGTGTGAGAGGGTGAGGGTGTTAAGTATGTGGTGAGTTTGACGTGAGTGGAAAGAGTGACGTCGGTAGTGAGTGTGATGTGAGTGCTGGACGTGACGTGAGTGGTGAGTGTTGTTACGAGGTGGTGGTAATTGGTGTGACGTAGTGGTGGTGAGTTGTGATGATGTGGTGCTGAGTGTCGTGACAAGATGGTGAGTTGTGGCGTTACATGGTGGTGGTGGTGAGTGTTGTGACGAGGTGGTGGTGAGTGGCTTGACGAGGTGGTAGTGAGTGGTGGTGCGTGGTGTAACGAGGTGCGTGTGGTGGTGTAGGTGAATGGCGTGACATGGTGGTGGCGAGCGGTGTGACGAGGTGGTGGTGAGTGGCTTGACGAGGTGGTAGTGAGTGGTGGTGCGTGGTGTAACGAGGTGCGTGTGGTGGTGTAGGTGAATGGCGTGACATGGTGGTGGCGAGCGGTGTGACGAGGTGGTGGTGAGTGGCTTGACGAGGTGGTAGTGAGTGGTGGTGCGTGGTGTAACGAGGTGCGTGTGGTGGTGTAGGTGAATGGCGTGACATGGTGGTGGCGAGTGGTGTGACGAGGTGGTGGTGAGTGGCTTGACGAGGTGGTAGTGAGTGGTGGTGCGTGGTGTAACGAGGTGCGTGTGGTAGTGGTGGTGAATGGCGTGACATGGTGGTGGTGAGTGTTGTGACGAGGTGGTGGTGAGTGGCTTGACGAGGTGGTAGTGAGTGGTGGTGCGTGGTGTAACGAGGTGCGTGTGGTGGTGGTGGTGAATGGCGTGACATGGTGGTGGTGAGTGTTGTGACGAGGTGGTGGTGAGTGGCTTGACGAGGTGGTAGTGAGTGGTGGTGCGTGGTGTAACGAGGTGCGTGTGGTGGTGTAGGTGAATGGCGTGACATGGTGGTGGCGAGCGGTGTGACGAGGTGGTGGTGAGTGGCTTGACGAGGTGGTAGTGAGTGGTGGTGCGTGGTGTAACGAGGTGCGTGTGGTGGTGTAGGTGAATGGCGTGACATGGTGGTGGCGAGCGGTGTGACGAGGTGGTGAGCGTGACGAGGTGGTGTCCCCTGCCCCGCCCCCCCAGGTGCTGGTGGGGAGCCCCGCGGTGGTGTTTGTTCGCCCGCGGTGGCTGCTCGAGAGCCTCCGGCGGGGGGCCCTGGCCCCGCCGCAGCCGTTCGCCATCGCGCCCTAGCGGGGTGGCGGGGGGGGGGGCTGGGGCCTGAACCCCAGACACAAATATGAACAGAGACGCAGACTTTAACAGTGACAGTGGCACCCACATCCTCGTGAACCCTGAGTCACCCTGTGGACCTGGAGTCCCCTCCATGGAGCCCGGGTGGACCACGAGTTCCCCCTTGGACCACGAGTTCCCCCTGGACCCCGAATGGACTCCGAGTCCCCGCCCATGGGCTACGCGGACCCTGAATGGACCCCGTGGACCCCGAGTGGACCACAAGTTCCCCCTTGGACCACGAGTTCCCCCCGTGGACCCCGAGTGGACGACGTGTTCCCCGTGGCACCACGAGTCCCCTGTGGACCCTGAGTAGACCCCGTCTCTGGACGCACCTTCTAGGACCGTGCTCACCCCCTCGCCTTCCTCAAGCTCTCACCAAACCGGCATTCGCCGCCTTCACCAAGCTATGCCAACCGGCACGGTGAAGTATGGTCAGATAACCCCCCCCCCCCCCACCACAGTCCAAATTGTGTTGTTGGGGTGGGTGGGGGGCCCTCATCCAGCAGTGGAGTGACATTGGGAGGGGAGGGGGGGTTTGTGTGCATTGTTACATTGGAGCCTCTTAGCACCCCCCAGGTAATAGCAGCAGCCACCGCCACTGTAGGTACCCACAACCGAAATTTTGTTTTGCTGGTTCAGTCGCATAAATATAAATGTCGTTAAACCCACCGCCGCCACCACCATCCCGACACCACAGCCCCATTAGTAAGGGGTTTGTCACGTAAACACGAAGTGCCAATTAGTTACTTAGTTCAGCACTAACCAGTTTGTGTGTGCTGGAGAGTAAACCCACTACAACATTTACAATTAGTAAGGGGTTTGTCACGTAAACACGAAGTGCCAATTAGTTACTTAGTTCAGCACTAACCAGTTTGTGTGTGCCGGAGAGTAAACCCACTACAACATTTACAATTAGTAAGGGGTTTGTCACGTAAACACGAAGTGCCAATTAGTTACTTAGCTCAGCACTAACCAGTTTGTGTGTGCCGGAGAGTAAACCCACTACAACATTTACAATTAGTAAGGGGTTTGTCACGTAAACACGAAGTGCCAATTAGTTACTTAGCTCAGCACTAACCAGTTTGTGTGTGCTGGAGAGTAAACCCACTACAACATTTACAGTTAGTAAGGGGTTTGTCACGTCAACAAAACGTGCCAATAAATTACCTAGTTAATCACTAACCGGTTGTGTGTTGGAGAGTAAACCCACTGCAACATTTACAATTCGAGTTAACGAGACGTTTCGCCGGTAATTGCAACTGACCTCATCAGGTGACGGCCAGAATTGTGGAGAAATCCTCCTCCTGTTTTGGTCTTAAATAGAGGGGGGGATGTCAGTCTGGCTGTCGCCTGATGAGGCTGGTTGTAATTACTGGTGAAACTTCACGGTACACGAATTGTAAACGTTGTGGGTTTACTCTCCGACACACAACCAGTTAATAATAGAGGTTTTTTTGGTTAGATCGCGTAAATATATAAAAGTGTCGTTAAAACCCGCCACCACCCAACACGGCCAACTAGTAAGGGTTTTCACGTAAACAGAACGTGCCAATTTGTCACGAGTACAGCACACCGGTGTGTTGGAGAGCCAAGCCACAACATTTACAATCTGAGTACGACGTTTCGCCAGTAATTACAAAATCAGGCGACAGCCGGTTCAGATAATTGTCACTGGTGTTGGGCACATCTAACACCTCTATATAAGGAACGAAACAGTTAGACTTCTCCACACGTTTATATATTTACGTGATTTAACCCAAAAAACCTCGTATGGATGATATTGGTCGTGAAACCTACGTCTTAAACACACAACCAGTTAGTGCTGAACTGGTCACGAATTGGCCACGTTTTGATTTAAAGCTTTCGTGACTGCAGTAATTCATATTCTTAGTTCTTTCGGTAAAGTCACGTTGAAGGGAAACAACAAAATAATAAAATATATATAAAACAATAAAAATTATCACGACGTTTCGACCATAACACACCTGAAGACGACCGTTTGTGTTATCGTCGAAACGTCGTGAGAATTTTTATTGTTTTATATATATTTTATTATTTTGTTGTTTCCCTTCAACGTGACTTTACCGAAAGAACTAAGAATATGGCCACGTTTTGTTTACGTGACAAGCCCATTACTAATTGGGCTGTGTGTTGGGTGGTGGTGGCGGGTTGAACGACGCGTTTATATTTTATGCGATCTAACCTAAAAAAAACCTCTGGATAATATTGTTCAGGAACGCCCTGCTGCTACTACTACTACGCGTTAAACTATACGTTCCAGTCACCCTCACAGTGAGCCACTTAAACTGGCACTTGGCTACCCACGTTGACGTGGAGCAGCAGCAGCTGTAAATAGCGCATTGAGGGTGTGGTCGAGGAGCCAGATGCATGGCCTGTCCCCCGATTCTCCGCGTACCTTTTAGGAACCGCTCAGCGCCAGAGGAATTGCATCAGGAGTAGAGCGGGGAGCTGGTGCATCATCATCATCGCCGCTGCTGTGATGACGATGTCTCATTTTGCGTTTGTGAAATCGGGGCCTTCTAAGTAGACGTCACACCACTCACCACGCGGTTCTGTTTCCCGGGGTGGTGACTCGTAGTCGCCACACCCGGAGAGTGTTTACATTTTTCCCTGTGTACGTGTGTAGTTGTGTAGTGGTTAGCGCACTGCACTACGAACCCGCCGCCCGAAAGTTCGGTTCCCGTTCATGCCCAACACCAGTGACAATTATCTGAACCGGTCCTGGGCCTCCCCTAGGTCGCCTCAAATGAGTACCTGGTGCGGTGTGTAAACATTGCCACTGGGGAGACGGAGGCGGTCGGGCGTGGTGCTGGCCTACCCCCTCACGTGCCGTTCCGGCCTTCATAGGTGCTCGCTAACAGCACTTGCCTCAACAGCCTGTTAGGGCTATATGGGGGGATATTTTCCTTGGTTTTGTGTGTCCATCCCAAACATTCGGCATAAGCTTCTCTCCCGTCACCTTTTTTCGACGGACGCGGTTTGAGAGGAGTTTGAGGCCCAACGAGATTGGAGGCAGGGGTCTTGCACTCAAGGCACCGGTATTTTGCCACAGTGTAGCTCATTGCGCACCCCAGATGGGCCACATGCCTCACAGAGGGTTTATAATACAGGAGGTATGCTGGGTTCGAACCTGAACCCTGACGCCTGTATACAGTAGACTCTCAATTATCCGTGTGCGGTTTTTATCCAATTTGTGGATTAACCACGCGCCTGAGATTTTGACATACGTTAATAACTCGTGGATTGTTTTTCCTTAAGCCCAATGTAATAATATAAAAAACTGTTGTACATTTCGATTTAAAGCTTTCGTGACTGCAATGATTCATCTTCTTTGGTTCTTTCGGTAAAGTCACGTAGAATGAGAATAAAATAATAAATTGATAAAATAAAATAACACAATAATATTCTCACGACGTTTCGGCCACAACACAAGCGGCCTTCATCAGGTGAAGGGACGAGACTGTCTGGTAGGACAGCGCTGGAGTGAAAGAGCCACGTTCAGATCACAGCCTTTAAGCTGTGTGAGAGGAACAAAGCGCCCTCAACTTTTGGTGCTAAAGTGAAAGAGCCACGTTCAGATCACGGCCTTTAAGCTGTGAGAGGAACAAAGCGCCCTCAACTTTTGGTGCTAAAGTGAAAGAGCCACGTTCAGATCACGGCCTTTAAGCTGTGTGAGAGGAACAAAGCGCCCTCAACTTTTGGTGCTAAAGTTTGAGGGCGCTTTGTTCCTCTCACACAGCTTAAAGGCCGTGATCTGAACGTGGCTCTTTCACTCCAGCGCTGTCCTACCAGACAGTCTCGTCCCTTCACCTGATGAAGGCCGCTTGTGTTGTGGCCAAAACGTCGTGAGAATATTATTGTGTTATTTTATTTTATCAATTTATTATTTTATTCTCATTCTACGTGACTTTACCGAAAGAACCAAAGAAGATGTTGTACATTGTGAATCTTGGAAATGTTTATTGCAAGTGACGTACTGAAACCGAACAAATATGTGATTGCCTCTACAGTATAACACAGTAATTGCCTATATTTACAACAGTGGGGCGGAGTTTGATTGATTTTGATGGGGGTGGCTCTTTTGTCCACTATAGTGGGCCGAGTCTTCTGCGCGTGAGCAAGAAAGTGTTACTACTTGGCACGCGCATTGATCGGTCGATTGTTAGCAATCGTTCTAAATCCAAAGAGTAACAATGGAAATCTTCAGTTGTGCTTCATTTCAAATAAGATATTTTTCAAATAATCCGCGGCAATCCTCCCCGTCATTACCGCGGATAATCGACAGTCCCACTGGAGTTGGGAGGTTGCGTGTCTCTAGCCCCGTGATCGCGTGGATTTTTTTTCTCTGGGTCCTCCAGTTTTTCCCTGCACGTTTCGAATCAACATGCGTTTTTAGACTGTTTTGACTGTTGCTATACATTTCCACACGATGATAAGCCACCACTTCGTCGAGCTATCATCTGTGATGGCCAGGTTGCTTCTGAAAAAAAGAGCGATACAGCAAGCTCAGTGGGGCTTTACCTGGTGAAATAAAATACAAGTACACGCAGTCATCGACTTACGAACGCCCGACTTATGAACACCCGTACATATGAACCCAGGTTCCATGCAAAAAAAATAGCAAAAAACATTTATTTGAAACGCAAACTCGCACTTTAAAACAGAACCGCGGAACCATTTTGTTCAGAGGAGCGATCCTCCGCGAGATGTTAACGAGTTTAACGATGTTTCCCTTTTTGTTGATCCATAACACGTTTTTATAACACTGGCCATATGGGCATTCCAATGCAGTGCGTTGTTGTGCTCCGACTTACGAACCGTTTGAATTACGAACGGGTCTCAGGAACGAATTAGGTTCGTAAGCCAAGGACTGCCCGTACTGCAATGCATTAAGTGAGTGACTATACGACCATTCCTAGGCCCGCCTGATCCCTATTTTCCTCGTGACTAGTACGAGACCTACCCCATCTATAATCACGTAGTGGCTAGAACTAACCCTACCCCATCCATATTCACCTAGTGACGAGTACTAGTTCTACCCCATCCATAGTCACCTAGTGACGAGTACTAGTCCTACCTCATCCATATTCACCCAGTGACTTAATAATCCTACCCCATCAATAATTACCTAGTACTAGTACTACCCCCTCCATATTTTACTAGTGACTAGTACAAGTCCTATCCAATTCATAATCACCTAGTGCCTACTACTAGTCCTACCCCATCCATATTCACCTAGTGACTAGTACTAGTCCTATCCAATCCATAATCACCTAGTGACTAGTACTAATCCTATCCATATTTAACTAGTAACTAGTACTAATCCTACCCCATCCATATTCACCTATTGACTAGTACTAGTGCTATCCAATCCATAATCACCTCATGACTAGTACTTGTCCTACCCCATCCATAATCACCTAGTGACTACTACTAGTACTACCCCATCCATAATCACCTAGTGACTAGTACTAGTCCTACCTCATCCATAGTCACCTAGTGACTACTACTAGTACTACCCCATCCATAGTCACCTAGTGACTACTACTAGTACTACCCATCCATATTTAACTAGTGACTAGTACTAGTCCTACCCTATCCATAATTAACCTCGTGACTAGTACTAATCCTACCCCATCCATATTTAACTAGTGACTAGTACTAATCCTACTCCATCCATATTTAACTAGT